TAAGGTTTTTTCTTTGCCTTCCTCTTCTTCTTGCCTGATTTACCAGCTTCAACAAGCATGGCAATGGGCTCATCCTTCTTGATCAGTTCCTTGGCCCTCTACAACATATTGCTGAGTTCCTGGATGCTAACATTTAGTTATTCATATTATAGTTCATGATGAATTGATTGAAGGACGGAGGCAAAGAATTTAGGATGACGTCCACCTTGGTGACATGGTCAAACCCAAATCCAAGAGCCTCAAGTTCATTGATGTATCCCATCATCTTAAGACAATGGTCATGAAATTGTTGGTTCTTGGACATCTGCATGGTCATTAACTGTTTCAAGACCTTCTATCGAGTAGAACGATTCTACTCTTCATACATCGTCCTTAAACTATCCAGGATATCCTTGGACAATTCAATCTGATCAACTATCGTTGTATCAGATTGTCTAAGGATGCTATGATGTAGAAGCAGGCAAGGGAATTTTTATCTTTCCATTCCTGGTAGTCCCACCTCTGGGCCTTAGAAGCCCTATCATTTGGATGTTCCGAAGCAGGGCTTTTAGCTACTTTGTCCAACTTTTCAGATGTCAAGACCAACATAAGGTTTCGGTACCAGTCAACATAGTTTGGGCCTATAAGTTTGTTGTCATCCAACAATTTTGTGAATTGTCCATTTGCCATTTCTGATAAAAAGCAAATATTAGTCCACAACCTTATTTGATTCATGTTATCTACATAGATATGGCTTTTAATCTATGTTCCATTCCCATTTGTTCATCTCTAAGATTTCCCTCCTATCTTAGTGACGGAGACTGTGAATTATGTCTCTAGAAATGTGGGAAATCACATAGGGTGCATGGATCCATTCATCTTATGAGTTTTCCCTTTGGCCTCTGTCAGACAAGGTTCATTGTCATTTTGGGTTAAACCTTTTTGTCCAGTGAGTGCTCACCCATCATATTCGTGAACGCCAATGTACCATGAGAGAGTCTTCTATTTTAGAATAGACCCCTCCACATCGGCCTATAACACCCTTATCATCTTATGAAACATTTCAACAGATGCAGCAGCAAATGGATAGCCCAATTTTATGGTGCGTTTCCTCATTACTGAAGGACCCATCTTCATGCTAATGATGGAAGGCCTTTAGAGAGTTCATCATATGAATCTCCCTATCACATGCACTTATATTTCAGTGGAGGGAACGAAGTATTACGCCCTAGTTTAATTTAGGTCAAACCAAAGTGGCTCCCATTGGCTTTCATAAAGCTAGATTTAGATGGGCCCTAAACGGCTAGAGATCCGCACGGTTCCTCTTGGGGAGGAAGCTGGTGTGGGGCCACCACGAAGGGAGATCATCCAATGATCTTAAGGACACCATGGCAATGATGTGCATTCAGCCATGGTGTGCGTAAGAGCCACTATCATATCGACATGGGCCAAGTACTTATGGCCCATGAACGTTGCACATCACACATCCATACATCACATGCTTGAAAAACAGAATTGATCCAATCAATTAATATCTGTAAAGCCCATGATTATCCTTAATATTACTGCCTAATATTATCTAGGTATATGGGCTGAATTGCAAAGAACTGTTCGGCCCATATAGCTTTTATGCAGTTAATGGGCTAAAGCAGTTTTAACACATTAAAACTAGGTTTTACAGGTGTGGGTTGGATTGCATCTTGCAATTAACCATCAACTCTTGGACCCAAGAGTGAAAAATTAGGGCTGAGAACAACCCCATCGAACCACAGATTCGGTCCAACCAGTTTGGTCCAATCTGGTTTGAATGGGTCTAGGGTTTGATGTTTAATTCAAGATTTTGATCTGAAATTAAATTACTGATAAAAGACATTCAAGAATCAATAGAAGGGTTGTTCGTAGATCTGCTACCCTGCAAAATAGAGGTTAGTTCACAGTTTGTAGTTTCTCAAATTGCAATTCGCAGATAGTTGAACCCTAATTTGCGAAACTCCTTCCTTCTACGCAATCTGCTTCAAATTTGAATGAAATAAAATAGAAAACCCTAATTTTCTATTAATATTACATAAAAAAAATTCCTATACATTCTGTCTAAAAATAAAAAAAAATAATAATTACAGACAAGAATGAATAGAACAGTAGGTGCGCAATTTTCTTGCGCCAATCAAGACTTTTTCATCTCCACCGTACGAACAACCCATAAATCAAGATAAATATAAAGAACAATTCTAAATACATATCAGATTTAAAAAGATTTAATTTCAGATCAATTCCCCTTAATCTGGGAACCGATTTCCTAGAAAGTCAATAATCTACGCAAATCAAGTAGAACGCCTTCTGCCCATTTGCGTAGTTTCAGATATGGCCAATTTCGGTTCAAGATTTGAACCTGGCTCTGATACCACTAAAGGGATGAGAGATCCATCATATGGATGGCCGAACCCTGTAGGAAGGTAGGGAGAAATTTCAAAAATTTCTCTCTCTCCCATGTGGGAATCACATTCCCTATTTTAGAAAATTGCATTTTCAATGATCAATCTTGAACTTAAACCGGATCAGATCTGTAACCAAAAGGGAGTGGAGGGTTATACTTGATACGAAGTCTTAGTAACCTCCAATGAAGGTGTTCACGCCCAAGGATGAATCTAAAAACTGCTTCCGTCGAAGATGACACAATGTAGGATGAAGCAGAATCAGCATGATGGCTCTTCAGCAAGAACCTGATTCTTCAGCAAGAATCCGATTGAGGGCGAGTGAGCACAACTTCAGATCACCTTTTCTGCCAAAAGATGGTAACAAGAACCCTTTCTTGATCGCTCTCAGAGTGGAGATCAAATTGGTTATGGCGACAATAACAAGAGAGAGCAAGAGCAGAAGATAGAGGCAGTCCAACTGTATGCTATATTCTCTCTTGTATCAGTAGACTGAAGGATGAATTGGAGGTTCGTCCTGCTCCTCTATTTTTAGTCTTAAAGAGAAATTCTCGTAATCCCATTAGGAGTTTCCTAATCCAAATCTTATATTTGGATCTGGACTCTCGTTAAGAGATAAGGATAATCCATTATCTTATCTGCAGATAAAGATCAAACCTCATAATCTAATTAGGAGTTTCCTAATCCAAATCTTTATTTGGATCTGGACTCTCTGAGTGGATAGGGACAATCCCTTATCCTATCTACTGATCTAAATCCCATAACCGCCCTTCTTTAATTAATCTTATTAAGTCAGTTCGAATTGGGTTTTAGGCCCATTGAGTCTAGGTGCTCACTTATCCTCTAAATTGCTGCCCTATTGGATGTCCTTGTATTGCATGGGACCCAAACATTGATCTACACATCAGCCACATGGGTTCAACCTAGCCTTTGTTACAAGGCCTGGCCGAGTTCACTGTAAGAGACAGTGAACCCTTGAGTCCATCACCATGGGCTCTTATTGGGCCCAACATTTACACTAAATGGTCCTTGGGCCAAGCCACCTTATAAAAACCCAAGGACTGTGGGCAGATGCAAGATTAACCATTAGGTAATACCCTCAATGGCCTTACACTTAGTCTCTCAACCCATAATGATCAAATACTGCCCGACAAGAGAGGATCTCTCTCTCGGCTGCAAGGTACAGTGCTGCACTCTCTACTCACAAGGATCCCGGGAATTAAAACCTTTTGCAAACATTTTGAAACCATAATATATATATGTATATCTCTATATAAATATATTTTGCAAAACAAATTTCAATGGTTAAAATCGACTGCCGACAGTTCTAGTTTCCACCAGAGATAGTGCATCCCCGATCATTCACTTTATCCGACAAAGGGGCTGATCCTATCACTATGATCACCCACTCAAATGAATTCTTAGACTGTTCCAACATACTCAGGTTTTGACCCCCTCTAAGGATCTCACTGATTGGCATATCAAAGACAACCCAATCTAACACCTAGTGTTGTATCATAATCGAGTCTAGGGGTTAGGTGTAACATTTCAGTTTTGCCCATCTATCTCCAAGGTCCAGGGCAACACTGGAATTCTGGTCCGGTTTAGGGTTTCAAGAAAACCCACACTGCATGTAGCTCAGGTCTCACCCTGGTAGCTGAGACAAGCCACCCCAACCAACTTGGCGGCACATCAATGTCAGTCTTGGCAAGATAAATCTCCCTAGATCTATCCAATGGCTGTGAAGATTCTAAACTAACACGAGTCTCATATGTGTCCAGTTTAAGGGTATTACACAGAAACACACAATAATAAAATGAATCAAATATGTACTTTATTCATTACTTTAATTGTCATAACGTACATCATTCTGATTGGAGCTAAGGGCATACATTGTCTAACAGTGCTCACATCCCCTGCGTGATCCTTGTTGAAGGATTGTAATTCTTGTTGAAGAATTACTTTACTGATCTTGCCTCATCCTAAGCTGTGTCATCTTCAGTGGAGGTGGGATTTAGTGACCTCTTTGGGCGTGAACATCTACATTGGGAGTTACTTGCATGGATTCCGTATCAGGTATATCCCTCCCTTAATCTTGGTTATAGATTTGGTCTGGTTTGTTTCAAGAACGAACATTGAAAAACGCATTTTTTCTAAATTAGGGAATAGGATTCACGGAAGGGATAAATAAATTTTTGAAATTTTGCCCAGTCACCCTTAAACTCTTTTTTCTTCTTCCTTCTAGGACCTCGGGATTTCTCCTTATAAAAGGAGGCATAAATCATAACAAACATACGATTCTATTGGTAGAAGTCTTTAGCCTATCCTTTGCTCCTAGCCTTCTTTCGTCTTTCAAGGAGACCACCACATGTATCCTTACCACACCACTCACACATTCCATCTTCAGTTCTTCGTAATCAATCACCAATCTATTGTTTCTTCTACCATTCACCAAACTCCTCTATACTAGTTGAGTGGCCTTGAAGTAGCAAGTTAGAGACAATCATTTGAGTTGAAATATAGAGTTGAGGATTCTGAGGCATGTCTTTAATTGATTCATTTCCCGTGCCTTTTCAACTTCTTGTTGCATTGCCTTCTCTCTTTCCATTTTCCGGGCTCTTTCCACGTTTCTATCATTTTTAACTTGTCAAACTCTTGCTCTCTCCATCTTCGTAGCTCTTTCTTTATCGACTGTACCCTCCAAGAAATCTATCTTACGATTGCTGGCTTCTACCAATGAACAAGACCCAGAGGAATGTGAAGTTTCTTCCCTTTCTTAATGCCAATAGGGGGATTTTCAACTCTCTTGCTACACTCTAGGAGTTGTGGTTGTATTTCATCATTGAGACCAACAATGTTGGGACTAACTAGAGATTCCTAGAGTCTGGTGTATGTTAATCATTTAGGTGGATGATTGGTGGTGGATTATTTGTTTGCTGGTTGGGTTCACCAATATATATCAAGTGAGAATCCCTTATCCTAGTTGCTTATGTTCTTCAAAAAATATAGTCTAAGGCCTATTCGTTTGTTCTGAACTTTGACATGTGAAAATGTAATAATTATATTAAGAGGTATCTTGACTTGGACAAGCCCAATGTCAAACATTGGTCCTACATTTTCGTGCCCAAACGGTCTCATTCCCTCTCTTTTTTCCTCTCCTCCTCGTGAGCCCCACTGCCTTTCACAGCACCGATGCACAGCCCGAATCTCCAGCAACCGGCTAAGATGGATTGAGTTCAAGAACAATAATGGAGAAAACTAAAGAGTAAGAAACCATCATCAGAAAGGCTCTAACTGCATACAGATCCCAAAATTTCCCAAAATTTTGGAAACCGAACTGCCGTTAGTCTGGACTCCGTGAGTTTGAAATGTAAGAGGAAGGATAATGGAGTGTTCGCTTGCCATTGGATGGGACAGACTATGTGAGCTCATTTTTTAAAACATTGGCGTGGTCCATGATCATCCGATTCGCACTCCCTAAATGCCCTACTCTACTCATCAGTCATGCCGACGTTCAGTGTTGCGCTAATTGTAGGCGGGAAAATCCACATGCTTACAAAACTATAAATAGAAAACATAGGAAGTAAAGAACGAGTGATTTATGAAAAATTGAAAATGCACCAATCTCCAACGGCTTCATCCCAACACGAAGAATCCAAGCGGTCCCTCGATTCTCACCTCGGTTCTCCAGAAAAGCCATCGAAGATCGCACGAACTGAAGATTCCAGTGATGAAGAACGTTCTGATAATCCTCTAAACATGAACCCAAACCCTAGAATCCAAAGATACTTGGTCGCAGTCGAGTATATCGGCACTAGATTCTCTGGCTCCCAGAAGCAACCTAATTGCAGAACCATTGTTGGCGTTCTCGAGGTGACTTTCTTGTTTTATTTTTTTTTTTCCTTTTTGATCAGTAAGCTTCTTGTTTTATCTCCACTGCCTTGTTTTTTTTTCTTTTTGGTCCTTATATTGAAATTACTTGAATAGTGAACTGTGGTTTGGAGTTATAGGAATCGTATCCAGAAGGAGGTGTAGCCATGTAGTAGTGTAGTGGAAAGGTTTTTCGAGTTTTGCGTAAGTTTGATTCTTTGAGTGATTATCAGTTCTGTCAGTGTCGAACTTCTGCTTTTCATTAGGCTGGCAGCTGTATAGTAAAATTTTTTGGCAATAACCTTTGCCCCATTAGTCCCTCATGCATTTTCAAATTATATACAAGGATGATGCTTATTCTCCAAGCATCTGAATTTGTTCATTTTGTAAGACAACATGGATACTTGAAAGCGGATCAATGAATTTCTCTCGAAATGGAGGAATAGGTCGGTGGAAGGTTTGGAAAATGGGTAGGTCTGGGTGAAGAGATTGGAACGCTAAATTGCAGAGAGTTTACTACGGAATGAATGGGAATCAAATGCTCTATCGGTTCATATATTTATTTTTTTGGTAATAAGTAATAAAGAATTTATTAATAGAAAAAAGAGTACATCTGATAGTGACGAGGTATCACCGTTAGCTACAAAGCCACAAAAGAGAACAAGGCAAAACAGAAGAGTACATTCAAAGGCCAATAACAAGAAAAGCTTTAAGCCAACTCCAGAATGTTCCAAAATCCAGAACAAAGGTCTTCTTTTGTGACAAACACTGGGAAAATGACCACCCAGTCCATTATCCCTTTGCTGCATAGTAAGGTGATATGGTCCCTTACTTAATCCTTCTCTTTAAAAATTCTCTTATTTCTTTCTTTCCATAGTTCCCAAGAAATATATTGGTCAAAAAAATATTTCCCAACAAATAGCAAAAGGAATGCAGCTTCAAACAATCTTTGCCTTGACATTTTCACTTGCACTTGGCCACTTGGAGAATCTCTCCTCTACCATACTAGGACACCTCCAATTAGTCTTGAATAGGCCAATGAAGAAACCCCATATGAATTCAGAGTAGGGGCGTTCAACAAACAAATGATAGACATTCTCCTTTGCATTCTCACAAAGATAGCATTTGCTAGCCAAGTGAAATCCTCTATTTTGAAGATGATTTAATGTCAAAATGCTATCTAAGGCCACTAGCCATGCAAAAGCTTCCATCTTTGGGAAGCCATTGATAGGATACTTACATACCTAAAGAAACATCCAGGTAGAGGGATTTTATTCTTAGATCATGGGAATTTGAAGCTAGATGATAGGAGATCCACATTAGGAGTATGCACTTTTATGGGAGGAAATCTAGTTTCATGGAAAAGTATAAAATTCAGTGGTGGCAAGGTCAAGTGCAGAAGTTGAATATAGATCTATGGCCCATGGTGTCTCAGAATACTTTGGGTTAGATCCTTGTTGAGTGAGATTGGGATAGATGTATCGAGCCAATGCTATGGTATTGTGATAATCAGAAGAGGAGAAATCAGAGGCACAAGAAAGCAGAGAAACAGTTACAACAAATTTTCAATAGCAAGGTGATAGTGGGTGTTGTAAAAACAACCCGGGCAGCCCACTTTGCGGTAATCAGGGTCCTTTAACTCCCTTTGCTGACTCCCCACTTGCTCAAGGTATCACTTTACCAAATTTTTCCGTGAATACTAACATTTCTTCTAGTCCGTCTCTGTTTGTGCCCATAGGTGAGACTAGCCCTACTTCAAAGTTTGCCACTGCAAATGAATTGACAGAGATGTTAGATAACGGGATTTCAAAAGAAGAGAGTGAGGGGGAAGGAGAGGGAATTTGGGATCTGGTTATGCAAGTCTTTCGAATCTTAGTGAGAGAAGAACTGGAGAGAGAGGAAATAAAGATGAGGAGTGTGACACTCCTAATCAAGAGGTAGTAGGGGAAAGGGCTGAAAGAAAAAAAACAGAAAAATAAAAAAGAGAAGAAAGAGTAAAAAAGGAGTGAATGTGGAAGTCCTAAGTACAATAAAGGATCTGAATAAGAAAACAGAAGGCTCAACTAAGAAAAGAAAGAAGAAGTTAAGTGAAGTGGAGAGGCTTAGGTGTGAAGTAGACTATGACAAAGGGAATTGTAGAAGAAAGGAAAGAAAGAAGCAAGGTAAGGGTGAGTGATAGTGCAAGGAGTTAGTTTTAAGGAGATCTACATGAAGATAATAAGTCTGAATGTAAGGGGGTTGGGAAGTGCAAGGAAAAGAAGAGCAATAAGGGAGATACTAAGAAAGGAGAAACCAGATATAGTGTTGCTTTAGGAATCAAAGTTGATGGAAGTGGATAGAAGGTGGATAAGAAGGCTTTGGACAGCCAGGGGAATAAGCTGGGCATATTCACCATCCTGGGGATCTTCTGGGGGAATTATCACTTTGTGGAAACTTTCAAGAATCACCCATATGCTGCAAACTAGATAGATTTCTTTTCTCGATGGATTGGGAGGAGGGATGGAGGGGTTTGGTGGTCAGAGCCCTACCCAGAACTACTTTGGATCACTGTCCAATTAGGATTTCCCAAGAACGAGTGGACAGAGGCCCATGGCCTTTCAGGTTTGAAAACATGTGGCTCCTTCATCCTGAATTCAAATCAAAAGTGAAAGAATGGTGGGAGGAGCAGGTGGACTTTAGGTGGAAGGGGTACAAATTTTATAAGAAATTGCAAAGACTAAAGGCCAAAATCAAAGAATGGAACAAGGAGACTTTTGGGCATCTAAAGGAAAGGAAGGCTGGTATAGTACATAGAATTGAGGAGTTAGATGTTTTTGAAGGGGAAGGGCGTCTACAAGTGGATGAAAGAGCTGAAAGATGGAGCCTTAAACAAGATCTAGAAGACATTCTCGAAAAAGAAGAAATCAGGTGGAGACAAAAATCTAGATGTCAATGGCTAAAGGAAGGGGATGGAAACATATGTTTTTTCCACTTGGTAGCAAATGGGAGGAGAAGAAATGCTATCTCTCAGATTGAGCGGAATGGACAACTTTTAACCAGGGAAATGGATATAGCACAAGCCTTTGTGGAGCATTTCAAAGCCATTTTTTCTGGGCCGGGCAGAATTAGAGATAGTTTAGATAATCTTGAGTGGGGGAAAGGCCCTAGGGACTTGGTTGAGGCTTTGGAAAAAAAATTTGAAGTCCAAGAGATAAAAGAGGCAATTTTCTCTATGGAGAGATCCAAAGCCCCAGGCCCAGATGGCTTCACGATGGCTTTCTCTATCAAGACTGTTGGGAGATAGTAGGTGCTTAGCTTGTGGAAGTCTTTGAAGAATTTTTTGAAAGGGGCAAGTTTAATTCAGGGGCAAATGCAACTTTTATAGCATTGATCCCTAAGAAAGCATATGCAATCCATCCAAAGGATTTTAGACCCATAGGCCTTGTGGGAAGTATGTATAAAATCATCTCTATGGTTTTGGCTGAGTGGATCAAAAGAGTCCTTCCTTCTTTGATCTCTCCAAACCAAGGGGCTTTTGTTTTTGGGAGACAAATAATTGATCAGATTCTTATTGCTAGGAAAGAGGCTTGGTTTGCGAACTGGATCTGGAAAAGGCCTATGACTTGGCATTGGGACTTTTTGCTAGAGATTTTAAGGTTGAGAGGTTTTGGAGCTAATTGGTGTAAGTGGATAAAGGGTTGCATTTCCTTCTGTCGTTATTCCATACTAGTCAATGGAGTAGCTAGAGACTTTTTTCTAGCGAGAAGGGGCCTTTTTCAAGGAGATCCTCTCTCCCCTTTCCTCTTTACTCTAGTTGCAAATGTATTGAGTGTTTTGATCTCAAGGGCTGATATTACAAATCAGTTAAAAGGTTGGAGAATTGGAAGGGAAGAGCTGGTGGTGACACAATTACAATTTGCAGATGATATTGGTATATTTTGTGAAGGGGAAAAGGAAGAACTGACTCAACTGTAAAGGCTAGTAACTAACTTTGAAAGGGTTTCTAACCTTAAGGTGAATTGGGGCAAGAGTTGTGTAGTAGGATTAAACAGAGAGAAAGAGGAAGTAGAAAACCTTGCTAGGGTTCTGGGGTTTGAGGTAGGGGAATGTTCGATATTGTACTTGGGACCACCTTTGGGGGGAACCCAAAATCCGATAGCTTTTGGTATCCAATAGTGGAAATATTTACAAAAAGGCTGGAAGGATGGAAAAGAAATTACACATCTTTAGGGGTAAGAATAACACTAATAAAGTCAACTTTGACTAATCTACCAATCTACTATTTACCTACCTTTAGGATCCCCACCAAAGTGGCCAACCAACTAGAGAAATTAATGAGGGACTTCTTGTGGGAGCTAGGGGACACAAAGAAAGATCACCTAGTGAAGTGGGAGATAGTGTCCAGAAGCAGGGATAGTGGGGGTCTAGGGATAGAGAATATTAAACCAAGGAATGTTGCATTGCTGAGAAAATGGTTGTGGAGACTGGAGATTCCCCCTAGAACAAGACAATCTATGGAAAAAGGTGATTGTGAGTATTCATGGTATGGTAGACAATGGGTGGGATGCTGGTCTTGACCCTAGGGCATCTCGGTATTCTCCCTGGAAGTGATCCATGGTTTATTGTCTTCCTTTCTTTCGTATATCAGGTATGTTGCTTGTGTAGGTAATAAAGTGCGGTTTTGGGAAGTGTTTAGTTTGGGGAATCTTCTCTTAAAGATAGATTTCCATCTATTTATTCCCTTTCCCTTAACAAAGAGTCAACAATTTCCAATGTTCTTGGTACTGAAAATTCTTGGGACTTGGGACTACGGAGAGGGTTAAGGGAGTCTGAAATGGTATTAGTAGATGAGCTCATTTCCCTTCTTAGCTTTGTATTCTTGGATCTTTCTTGTTCAGACAGTAGAATTTGGTTTGTGTCATCCTCTGGATACTTTACATGTGCTTCTTTCTTCAATGCCCTCCTTCAGTCTTCTAATGCTGCAAAATTTTTTCCCACAAAGGAAGTATGGTGTAACCCTGTTCCCTTGAAGGTTAGGGCTTTTTGTTGGGAGGTAGTACTCCAGAAAATTAACACTTTGGATAAACTACAAAAAAGAAGACCAAATTGCTGCCTTTCCCCTCATGTTTGTTGTCTTTGTTTGGACTGTGGTGAGTCAATTACACATCTATTATCGTTTTATCCTTTTGCTTATTTTGTTTGGATTGGTTTTCCTCTTTGTTTGGCTGCAAGTGGACTCTGCCTTTTGATACGGCAAGCCTCTTTGAGCAAAGCTTCTTTATATTAGCTAAAAAAAGAGGTAGGATGATGTGGAGAGCTACAAGAGCTGCTATCCTTTGGTCATTATGGGAGGAGAGAAATAACAAAATTTTCCAAGGAAAAGAAAGGCTCAAGGAACAAGTAATTGATAATATACTCACAAAAGTCATACATTGACTGAAATAAACTGACTTATTCAATGATTATTCAGTGGAGGAATATTTAGAGGCTGGTCGGCAGTGGCAAACCTTTCTACTACTATGGATGTGGTTCAGCCCCAATGGATACCAGTAGCACACCAAAGGGTAAAGTTGAATTTTGATGGAAGTTCTTTGGGCAATCCGGGACCCTCAGGAGTGGGGGGAGGAGTATTCAGAGACGGGGAGGGCAGGTTAATAGCACTGTACTCTTGCCCAATAGGTATAGGCGATTCTTTAAGAACTGAAATTATGGCCTTACTCTAAGGACTGAGACAGCCCAAGCAATGGGGTTTCCAAAACTATGAAGTGGAGGGAGATTCTAAGCCGTTAATAGGATGGCTGCAGACAAAAAGTCTGGGGGCATGGACTCTGAGACAGCAAATGAGGGAGATTTATTGTTTAGCAAGGGAAACTGGAGTAATCTTTACTTGGGCAAGGAGGTCGGCCAACAGTGTGGCTGATATTTTGGCAAAACAGGGAACTCAAAGGGAAAATCTTTTTTGGGATGTAAAGTAAACTTTGGGATAAAATATGGGGTCAACACTCATGCTGTGAATGATTGGTATTGTACTACTCATTTTCTAATTCAATGAAAGTTACTGTTTCCAATAAAAAAAAAAATCAAGCTGCAATCAATATTGCCCACAGTCTAGTTCAACTTGATAGGACAAAGCACATTGAAGTTGATAGATACTTCATAAGAGAAAGGATGACAACCAGAGAAGTCTGCTTGCCATATGTCTCCTCTAAGTTACAGTTGGCCGATGTCTTCACCAAAGGGGTTACAAAGAACAAGTTTGAATATGACTTACGAAAGTTGGGAATGTGTGACATTTACTCCCAACTTGAGGGGGAATGTTGAGTTTTTGTTTGTTTGTTTTTTTTTTTTTTTGAGTAGATTTATGAATTAATTTTGTTGATTGTTTGTTTACATAGGTAGTGGGGACCACAACATACTTGTTTTTTTTTTTTTGATCAGTGACCACAACATACTTGTTGGGACCCTTTGGAATGTTTTGGCGTGCTTTTTTTAAGTTCTTTATTGAGTTTTTGTGTTCAGCTGGCATATAAGGGCATACTTGTCTTTGTACACATTTCTACATTTTTTTATTTCTGCAGATTTCTACTAGTTGATTTGAAGAAAATATAATTTGGTTTAGTAAATTGTGGTTGTTGCCAGAAAATTTTCTCTTCCCCCTCTCTTTGTTCTTCTAAGCGATTAGCAATCTGTCTCTTTGCTCTTTACCGTAACAACAAAAGTTTTCACCTCTTCCTTTCTAATTTCTTACTCATTCTTTTGGTGGATAGAAAGCATTCTACTTGCTTTTCCCTCCACATTCTTCATATTTAATAACCCACAACCTCTCATTCATCCCACAAAGCCCACAAGCCACCACCAAATGTTAAATTAGTAGGATCCCTACCCCATCCTAAATCAATTTTTCATGCATCATTCTAATGAAGATTTGAGTATGGGTATTGGGTCTAAGATTTTTTTCCTGTATTGCCCCCAGTGATAACCATAGAGTTGCTATTAAAAATTCATTCCGTCCATTGCAACAAATTACAATGTTTAATTCTGATGCTTTCATATTGTGCCAACAAGACTAGGAATTAACAGTGATGATTTACTTTTTATGTTTGTAGTTAGCCATAGAGCTATGAAAAATTTCCCTTTTTTGTGTTTGCAGGGTAAAATTTTGGCTTCTACTGTAGTCTTATGTTCTGTATATATGTCTTGCTCAATTAATACCAATTCAGCTTATCCTCTTTTCACAGTTTTCAATCTTTGCAGTTGTTTGAGTTTAATAATTCGATAGGAACTTGATTTTTGGGCTATGCTCCAGGCTTGATATAATTCCTCTTTTGTGGCTGGAAAGTTCATACTGGATCTTTTAGTTTAAATCATACTTGAGTGCAAAGGAGTTCATATTTTATCTTTTCCAATATGTACTGATTATCTGATTCTCTATAGAATGTTAGATGTTATTATTATTTGTGTTGCTTTTGTTTTTAATGATTCTTGTTGAGAATAAGTGATTTGATTACCATAACTCTAGTTTCTGTGTTTTAGGATGCTTTTCAAAAGTTTGTTGGACAACCTGTTTCAATCTTCTGTTCAAGTCGAACTGTAAGTTGAAGCTCTTATCTGACAGAAAAGAATTTTGTAGTTTTGTTCTATTGGATATTGCTTCATCATGTCTTGTATGGTGGTGGCTTGCTTAAAAAAACATCTTAACTTAGGAACATAAATATGTACAGATATGCAATGCCTACTTTATGTTTGACCAATATCTTTGTGGAATTCCAGGGTATTTAATTTGTTGGATTTTGGAATGAAGTGGATGGATTATGCAGGAGTATCAAAGATATTTAGTAATTTTTTATAAACTTAAACTTAGGATCCATTTCACAAGGCCTGAATTATTAATCCTTAACAAGTTTGTATCTGAAATAATCAAACTGACAAATTGAAATCAAGAACTTTAAATAGGAAGTCAATATGTAAGTTGATTTAAGTTTTCAAGAACCTATAGGTTATGCAAATTGCAAAACTGGAGATAACTTGATAATTATGTTTCAATAAATAAGTTTTAATCAACAACCTAGAACTGGCAACAATCATGAAGGCTCTGGATGATTCAGCACTTTTCATGGAGATTACAGTGATAAACAACAATTAGGATTGGGTGTGGGAGAATAACCTAATATTTAGCCATTTGGAGTAATATTCTTGTTCTTGGTTTCCTGGTGGGGCAATTGGGTGATGTACATTAGATATTTCCCCAAGCATTTGAAAGGAGAATTGCCTGCTTGACAACCCAAAGCTCTCATACAATTTTCAAGAACATCTCCATCTAACAATCCTGGATAGATAATCAATTCGAGTATGAGGAGATTTAATCAGTTTATTGATGCTTTTGAACTCAAAGAACTGCCACTTTCTTATAGTAACTTCACTTAGACCAACATGTAGTTTAACCCAGTATGTCCAAATTGGACAAAATCTTATTTACAATTGACTGGGAGGAAAATTGGAGAAGCATAGCGTCAAGAGTCCTACCAAGAGTGACCTTAGATCATTAGCCGATTTTTATTTTTAAGGTTGTTATGGTGGATAGAGGTCCAACTCCTTTTAGATTTGAGAAGATGTGGCTAAGCTCTAATGGATTTATTGAGAAAGTTAAAGGATTGGTGGGAAAAAAGCAATCCAAGAGTGAAATGGGAAGGGATGAAATTCCATTGGAAGTTGAAGGAACTAAAAATAAAGGTCAAAGAATGGAATATCCAACACTTTGGAAGACTAAAAGAAAGTAAGCAAGTTAATCAGAAAAATTGAGGACTTGGGTTTCAAAGAAAGTTTGGGTTCCATTGAGAAAAGAGACAAGAAAGAGAGATGGGCCTTGAGGAAGCAATTAGTAGACATTTTGCTTAAAGAGGAGATTAGTTGGAGACAAAAATCTAGGAACAAGTTGCTCAAAGAGGGGGATAGGAATACTAAATTCTTTCATGCTCTGGCTAATGGGAGGAGAAGGAAAAACTTTATCTTGAAATTGAGGGGAATGGTAACATAATCGGTGATCACTCAACCAAATGATATTGCCAGAGCTTTTGTGGATCACTTTAAATCTATCTTTAGGAAGCCATTAAATAGCAGAATCTGGCTTGATGGGTTGGAGTGGCCTACTCTTTTTGAGGAGCATAAAAATTGGTTGGAAAGGAGGTTTGAGTTGGAAGAAATGAAGTAGTTTTTTCCGTGGATATATCCGAGGCTCTAGACCTTGATGATTTTACAATGGCCTTTTACCAGGATTGTTGGGAGATCTTGAAAGGATGTTCCTAGAATTTTTTGAAAGGGAGGGGTGGTTAATCTAGGTCTTAATTTCACCTTCATTGTTTTGATTCCAAAAAAGGTGATGCAGTGCTTCCAAAGGATTTTAGACCAATCAGTTTGATCAATAGCCTTTATAGAGTGGTAGTTCACGCCATTGTTTTAAAACCGACCTAGAGGTCGATCTACTTTTGCCTCCGAGTTATAGGTCACCGGTTCAACCGTTTGGATTGAACGGGTTAGATATTGTGACATCAACATTATTATATACGTGCCTCTCCAAAGGAAACTTGTAACTATACTAGTTTTTATTAATGAAATTGATCCTTTTTAATTATCAGAAAAACATCATTATATATTTAAGTATATATATATATATTTATATACATATGTGTGTGTGTATATGTATAATACATATTTTATTAATAAATAGTGTATAATTGTGTTTTACATAGAATGTATGCATTATTTAATATTTAATTTATGTTTTTTAATTCAATTTTTAATTTATGTATTTATAAAAAATATTAAAAAAATGCAATTTGAGGCCAAAAAATGTTTTTTTTTGGCAAAAATAGCGAGGCATGACGCCTTGGGACACATAGATCTCAAAAAGATACCCAAAATAAAAGAAACCATTCCAATTGGACATTAGAGTGTAAAGTTATGACCTTTGAAAGTTTGCACATACATTGAGTGTACAACCCGCGACCTGGTGATCGGGTCGAATGGGTCAATGGTTGAACCACTTAGGTTGGATGGTTTTGACCAAGTCAACGGTTTTTTAATAGACAACGGGTTTCAAGAGAACCGGACCTGGAATTAAGACTGGGTGACGGTTCGAAGGGTTCAATAGGCTAAGTCATTGGTGGGTTGAAAACACTGGTTCATGCCCAATGTCGTACCTAAATCGGCCTCCAACTAAGGATGGTACAACAATTTATGTGAAGTCCATACAACAATGGAATTTCTGCAAAACCAAGCTGCAAGCTCCAACCTTCTTGGAATTGATGTAGATGTGTGAATCTCAATTCTCTGATTTTTTCTCCAAAAATGTAGCAAAGGACTGATGAGAATCAGCCCCTACTAAGTATGGTTCAAACTAGGGTTTTGGGATGCAAGGAGAGGAGAGAAAGAGAGCAAGAGAGTGGGGGGAACATAATGGTTTGGCCCCTCCCTCTCATCCTCTTATATAGAGCACTCTCCTGAACCTATTAGAACTTGATCCAAATCAGATTTGGATAAGGACTTATCCATGTTTAGATAAGGACATTATCTTCTTAAGAGAATGGGTGCTCCATACCCATATCCATACCGATATTCAATCCATATCACATGACATATGACAACTAATCTTATTAGTAATGGGCTTAAGGCCCACTTTAGGCTTGAATATTATGTGGCGTGGGACCTACAAAGGTCTCACATGAGTCCATAAGGGTTCGACCCCACCTCTAGGAAAGGACAAGCTGAATTCATTGCCCAAGGGTTTGGGCTCAGTTTGGGCTTAATATTTAAACATAAACAATCTTTGGATTTAACCACCCTATGAAGACCCAAGGATAATGGACTTATGTAAGATGAAGCCCATCAGGTTATCAACTCTGTAATGGTCTCTTGCCCTTCTTAGCCCATAATCATTAAAAGACTGTTCATAGGAAAGAACCTCTTCCCTGACTACAAAATGTAGTGTCACACTCTCTGCTCAGATGGATCCCAGGATTAAAACCTTTTGCAAACATTTTATGACATATAATAATATAATATATAAATACATTTTGCAAAATCAGATTTCAAATACAGTTGAAATCGATTGTCGGTAGCTTAGGTTTCCATCAAAGAGTGTAAACCTTGATATTCACTTTGTTTAACAAAGGGGCCAATCCTATCACTATGATCACCCACTCAGGTAATTTCCTAAATTGCTCCAACATGCCTAGATATTTGACCCTTGATGGATCTCCTTGGTTGGCATATCAAAAGCAGCTTGGTCCAAGACCTAGTGTTGTATCATAATAAAATCTGGGGTTAAGTGCAACTTTCTCCAATTTTGCTCATCTGTCTCCAAGGTCCAGGTTCAGCGTTTCATCCAAACACCCATTGACTATGCTTGGGGTCTAACCCTAATAGCTAAGACAAGCTGCTCCACCAATTTGGCAGCACACCAGTGTTAGCCTTGTTAGGATAAACTCCCCAAGTCTATCAAATGGCTGAGAACATCTTCAACTTATAAACGAGTCTCATAAGTGTCCAGTTTAAGGAGTAATTCACGGAAACACACTAATTTGAATATAAAACGGTAATGTATTTATATTATTCATACAAAAATGTCCGTGTACATCAATTTAATTGGAGATAGGGGCATACATTGTCTAATAGGGAGGAGCCCATTTTCTCCTTTTTCTCTCCATTGAATTTTGGTTTTGGTTTGGATTGGGATTTGGGCTTTAGAAGAGGCCTCCATGAGAGTGCAACAAATAGTGTCATGGCCTTACTTCAAGATCTTGATAGAGTGATGTTGGACCCTTCAAGAGGGGACAATCAACTTCGGACCCTTTCATCCTTTGGTTCCTTTACCTATTCTTCATTCTTTTTGCATTTAATTCAGCCAAATGCTAGTCTGGGTATGTCTTTTCCTATAAAGGAGGTTTGGAGCATTCCTATTCCACCTAGGATTGGTGGTTTTTGTTGGGAGGTGTATCTAGAAAGGATTAATACTTGTGATCTATTGCAAAGAAAAAAACCTAATTGTTGTCTCTCCCCTTTCTAGTGCCCTCTCTGTAAAGCCAATGGTCAGTCTTATTATCACTTATTAATCTCCTGCTCCTTGCTTTTTCAATTTGGGAATGGTTTGTCTTTTTGTTTGGGTGCAGGTGGAACTCCCCATCTTCTGTTCAAAGCTTGTTCTCTTCTACTTATGTTGGAGAGCCGACGAAGAGGGGAAGAACCCTATGGGGGTGTACAAGGGAGGCCATTTGCTGAACACTTTAGGAAGAAAGAAATCAAAAAACGTTTTTTAGAAACAAAGAAAGGAACAAGGAGGTACTAATTAAAGCCATAACTATTAAAGTGGTTCATTGGGTTAAGACATTAAAGTTGTTTGAGGATATTCCAGCTGGTGAATTGATGAGAAAATGGAAGGAAGTTGCTTGGTCCCCACCTACAAGTGGTTTCATCAAACTGAATTTTGATGGTAGCGGTTAACGAAATCCGGGTCCTTCAGGTATTGGAGGAGTTTTTAGAAATGAGGAAGGAAAAATTGTTGCTCTTTATTCCGATCCAATTGGTGTGGGTGATTTTTTGAGAGCGGAAATATTGGTTGTCTTGGAGGGAATTCAAAAAGCAAAGGATTTGAACATTTGGAAGCTATCAATTGAGGGAGACTCAAAATTAGTTATTAGCTGACTGCAAGATGAAGAGGTTGTGGGATGGTGGGGATACATCTATGAGAAGAGGCGAATCAAGTGGCTGCTATAAGGGATGGAGGTTACTCTAAAATGGGTTAAAAGAGATGCTAATTCTTTTGCTGATTCTATGAGTAAACAAGAGGTGGGAAGGTATTGACTATTTTGGGCTTAGTTGTAATATTGTTAGGGAGAGCTAAGAGAATTTATCTCCCCCTTTCTCTTATTTGTACTTATTCCTTTGATAATGAATTCTGATCCTGTTATTGATAAAAAAATACATTAATCTTGTTGGATGCACGTGGATCAGGTGTTGAATTTGAGGGCTATTTTGACGAGTTTTGAAATGTTGACAGGTTTGAAAGTGGATTTGTCCAAGAGTGTTATGATAAGAATTGGAGAAATCAGAAATGAGTTGTTGATGGAGTGTGCAGCTGTGTTTGAGTGCAGAATTGGGGAGCTCCCATTTATTTGGGTTTGCCTGTTGGTTCCAAGACATCTTCAGCATTTGTGTGGTGGCCTATAATTGAAAGAGTGGAGAAGAGGCTGAATGGTTGGAAGGTGAAGTTTCTATCCTTGGGTGAAGGATTGCACTCGTAAAAAGTGTGATCTCAAGTTTACCATCTTATTACCTTTTCTTTATTAAAGGTTTCAGCGGAAGTGGCTAGGAGAGTGGAGAAGATTCAAAGAGACTTCTTAAGGAAAGGCTAGGGTGAAGTCAAGAAATTTCATCTTGTTGGGTGGGACAAGGTTTGTAGGCTGAAGAGTGGAGGTGGGTTGGGGAAAAGAAGGGTCAGAACTTTCAATAAGGTGTTGCTAGGAAAATGGCTTTGGATGTTGGGTTTAGAAAAGGAAAGGAGTTGCATTGGAGGAGAGTGATTGTGGGTAAGTATGGGGTTGTGAAGTTTGGGTGGGAAACTGGGAATCAAGGGAGGTCTCTGTTTCATATGTCTTGAGTATTTGGAAACGAATAATGACTTTTACTGAATAACTTGAAAACTAAATAAGTTTTGTAATTGGGGATAGGTCTAGAATAAGGTTTTGGGAGGATGAATGGTGTGGAGTTGGGAAACTAATTGATTTGTGCCCAAGGTTGTACAGGTTTTCTGATCATGATGTTTGGATTAACCAATGCTATGAGATGAAAGGTGATCAGCTGCTGTGGTATCCTAAGTTTAGAAGTCATTATTTGGATCAGGAGGTGGAAGAGTGTGTTATGCTGCTGAACATACTAGAAAATCGAAGACCTGAAGCTCTTCAAGGGGTGAGTTGTGGTGGAAGGAGTGGAATAATGGAATATTCTCTGTGAAATCATTTTATGCAGCTTTGATTCAAAATCACATGGAGCCATCCCAGGATGAAGGTGTATGGGGTAATTCTATTCCACCAAGAATGGAAGCATTTGTGTGGCTGGTTTCAATGGATAGAATTCTAACTTTGGCACATTTTAAGAGCAGAGAATTCAGCATGGCTAGTGTTTGCTATATGTATCTCAAGCAAGAGGAGACAGTTTGTCATTTGTTTCTTTTGTAGGGTTGCTGACTTCTCTTGGCGTTTCTTCCCTTGACTGTTTGGAGTTAGAGGCTTTCAGCCAAGGGTTCTTGCAGAAATTTTTTCTACTTGGCTGAAGATCAGAGGTTTTAAAAGGGCTAGATTGGTTTGGAGCTGCATCCCTTTTGCGGTCTGTTGGGGCATTTGGAAGGAGAGGAACAGAAGATTGTTTTAAAACAAGGTCTGGAGCATTGAGAAATTGGTAGCGGACATTGACAAATTAATTTTTTGACTGGGTGATGGTCCTTCCAGATTTTGTACAGGTTACTAGAGAAGAATTTGGGGAGAATTTTAGTGAAGTGCTTGAGTTGCAAAATCGTATTTCTGCTTGTTATCTATAAGTTCTTGAAGGTGTTTCCTTAACACCTTATTGGGTTGTAATCAGATTCCTTTTTTATTTTAATGAAGTATCTTTTCTTTTATTATAAAAAGAAGACAACTTATGAATTTAATTTTTAGCTTGTCTTGTGGTTAGTAGCAAGCTTGTCAACAAGGCAAAAATATTTTTCATTGAAATTATTGTTTCACATGTACATTAGCTTTTCGTTTAGACCAACAATTTCAGTTCTGGCATGAAAATACTCACTGGTCTTTTACGAATTCTGAGCATTATATGATATTTGATGCTTACTGGTATAGGATGCTGGAGTGCATGCATTATCAAATGTTTGCCATGTAGATGTGGAACGCATAAGCAAAAGGAAACCGGGTGAAGTGGTATTCTTTCTGATTCTTTTTTGTCTTCTCTTTTTTTCTGAGAGAGCATATTGGCTTCCAAAATTTGTTTTAATAAGGGTTCCTTGAAAAGTCCCTCCTGGTGGTGGGGCTTCTCCTAATATCTTCTTAGTTGGTAAAGGTACAATTGTATCATCTGTTCTTCTTCTTCTTTTAAGACATGGTAGGGGGCTTAGATAAGCAGTTTTTCTTTACATCTCTTGGTTACTAACCAGAGTATTATATGCCAATTCTTTAATCAAGTTTTTCTAGACTATTCAGGAATATGCCTTAAGTTTAGGCATTATTTGATTTTGAGTTTGTTGCAAGAGAATAATAATATTATAGTGCAAATCAGGGCACGGTTAGGATTGGAGACCAAGAGTTAATGTATCCTTTTCCGGTACCTTGGTTTGAAAATTCATAAGAAGGGAGAGATTGAGGAGCCTGTTACCCATAGAACTAGAGCATGATGGAGATCTTTTGTGGGTGCAATGCCATGAAAACAAGGAGTAGGGGCAAATTGTTCCTTATTGCTAGAAAAGGAACTTTCATGCATTTTGCAAATTGTTAGTCCACCTTTTCTCATAGTGAAAATGTGAGACTTCAGAAGGGTGTTAATTCTAGATTGGGAAGATGTCTTATTTGTATCATTCTTCCTTCAAGAATTTAAAGGATGATGTTGCTTCAAATATTGGTCCTGGTATGGGTACAAAACCTATTGGTATATTTTTTTGGTAGTAAATAAAAAAGAAAAAAAATTATTAAAATAGAAAGAGGTACAACTGAGGCTGATGAGAGATCACCAAAATTACAAGACATGATAGAAAGTAAAACCAAACAAGTAGAAGAAACAAAAGCCAAAAGAAAGACAAAACTTCTAAACCAGCTCAAGAATGTTCCAAAAATCAGCACCAAGATTTTCTTTTGAGACCTCAAATTCTGGAAGAATGAGAACCCAATCCACGATCCTTTTACCACACAGAAGTGTGATGTGGTGTCCCTAAATTGGGCAACATCATCAAATATTCTCCTATTTCTTTCTTTCCAAATTTCCCAACACACAGCAAAAGGAATGCAGCTCCATGTGATTTTTTCCTTGATATTTCCCCTAACACCTCGCCACCTAGAGAATAATTCCTCTGCCGAAGAGGGGACCATCAAACTAGCCTTGAAAAGTCTAAAAGAAGAATCCCCATATGAACTTAGAGTGGGGCATTCAATAAACAAATGAAAGACATTCTCCTCTGCATTCTCACATAAATAACACCTGCTAGCAAAGTGGAAACCTCTGCATTGAATGTGATTTAAAGGTCAAAATGCTATCCAATGCCACTAGCCAAGCAAATACTTCCACCCTTCCCCAAATCCCTTTTAACTCCGGACTTCCTCCATCACTCCTTGACAGAGCCTTGTGGAAGAATTTAACTGAAAACAACTGATTTCGAGACTCTTTCTACCATCTTTAGTCCTTTCTTTCTACTTGTTCTTCAAAAGATTGTAGCTGTACAAGTAGTTTCTACACATTCCTGGATTTCCCTTTGAGACTCTTTCCACCACCTTTAGTCCTTTCTTTCTACTTGTGCTTCAAAAGACTGTAGCTTTGCAGGTAGTTTCTACACATTCCTGGATTTCCCTTCGAGACTCTTTCAACCACCTTTAGTCCTTTCTTTCTACTTGTGCTTCGAAAGACTAGCTTTGCAAGTAGTTCTACACATTAATGGATTTCCCAGTCAAAAAGAGATCTTCTAAATCTTGGGCACCACACTCTCTACCTTGATTGAACTCAAAATTCCTTGCAATGGAGTTGTTCTTCTTAGCCAACCTATACAATTGCGGGCCAAGGTCACATAACTTTCCAATGCCTAACCAATCATCTTCCCAGAATTTAATTGTTGAGCCATCTCCAACTTTGAATAATATAGTTGAGGAAAGCTGATTAGAAGCACATAAATATGCGGTTGGGTGATAATTTATGGCCTTTTTTTTGCATTCTCTTTTCTTTTCCTCCAATTAACTTTTTTTTTATTTATTACCTTTTCCATTGTTGTATGATTCTCCTATTCGGAACTTTTATGATTCTCCTTTTCTAAAGGTTGTTCAGTATCCAGTTTATATGGCAATGGAGTGCCTACTTGAAATACTGGGGGAATAAAAACTTGGATTACGGGGTCTAGTTGGGTACTTCTTTCAATAGATTAACAAATGTCTATTTTTTCTACTACTTCAGTGTTTTCAGAAGTACTAGTTACAGTGATTGTTGGATATTTGGAGTGCAGTTACCTCCTCATGAACCTGGAGTGGTTAGAAGGGCAGTAAACCATTTCTTACAGGTATAGCCTTTCTTTATCTAGAAAGTCTTGGCTAAAAATGAATAATTTAATATACACTATCTTGTTTTTTTTTTGGTATAGCCGGCTTGACTTGTGAATTTTTCTATGTTTTTTCTGAATTTTCTAATATAATTAAATTTAGAACAATTTACATTGAAATGTTTCTCTGAGCAGTTATCCTATTTGTTATACTCACAAAAGTTTTAGGCTTCATTCATTGTGATCTTTTACTTATTTGTTCATGCATATTTGCAAATACTTATAGTATTTTTGGTCAATATATGTACAAATACTACATAAGTTACACATGCAAACTGACACAACATACTCTTCTTCCCTCTTTCCCTCGAAACTGTGATGATTATGAAACTTTTATGAAGTGAAGTCTTCAAGGAATCTTATCTGATGTGTGGAATGCTTGGAAATAGTAGGCTTCCTTTTTTTTGCCTCAAAATTGAGTGGCTTACACTTGAAAACATATAGATTGCAATTTTATTGCCTTAACAGGTTTTGTTTATTTTTATTACACCAAAGAAACAGCTGAAGAGGGAGGAGAGAAGAGAGATCAAAGACCATGTAGAGCAGCAGTGGCTTAGTTATGGGATTATTTGGGCCTGTTTTGGGCCTGCTTTGGGCTGTTTACTTGCTCTTTTACTTGTTTTATATTTACTCATAGGGCAGCAGGGTATTTTAGTCTTTGTACATCTTTTAAAAACTCTACTATTCTCTCTTCTTCTTCTTCTTGTTTGAATCAGTTTTTTCCTGCTATTTTTCTTTCTTAATCTGAAATATTTCTCACCAGTTTGGCAGCTTGACAACTTGGTATTAGAGCTGGTTTAGGTTCTTGTTTTTTGATCTTATGTTGTGTTGATGTAGCCGGATGCATGAGATAGGACTAGTGCTAGATTTTCAGTTACTTTTAGCCTAATTCTTGGAGGTTTATTGGAGATTCTATGTTTCTCAAGACCGGAGTTCTGGAGACTGTCCAAAAACCAGGAAGAATCAGAGCAATCATATTGGTTTAGGGTTTAATCATTAAACCTTTGATTGAAGATGGCACCCAGTGATTTCTGGGTATATTTTAAATCCCTCTTGATACTGGTTGAAGGTGGCAAGGTGTTGGAGACTTATGAAGGAAGTGGCTGATATTTTCTACTTTTCTCCAGGGTCGGCTCTAGGTTCTTGCTATAGGAAAGTGCGTTTAGAAAACTGGAGAGTAATTGCCCCTTCTAGATGGAGGGAGCTTGAAGTGATGGAGTCTTCCAGATGTTTAACAGGTGGAAAGCTGAACTGAGTGTTGAGGCGAAGAAAATACAGTTGGAACATGGAAGGGATAGAAGTAGGAACCTGCTGAAAATCAGAGAAGAAAGGAGGGCGATGATCCTCTTGCCTGAGGAGGCTGTGATGTGGCAGAAAGGTTTTATTGATGGAGTAATCAACTCTATCAGGGCAATAGGCTGGAGAAATTCCATGGAAATGCTAGGGAAGAGATTTGAAGTTGAGCTGAGACGGAATGAGAGAGGTTGGTTCATTGCTATCACAGAATATTTTGACAATAGCAGACAGATGTTATGTTTGCCGGAAGGGAAGGAGATACTGGGGTGGCTGGTCTTTGTGGATAAGTTACAACAGTATCTATTATACGTTGACAGGTCTTCAGGCAAGGAACATGACTTGAACACAAAAGAGCATAGTGAGCATAACCATCCAAGCCAGTTGGTAATTGATATAAATGATGGGGAGCAGGAAGCTGCAAAGCAGAGCTCCTCCCTTCATGGAGGAGTGATTGTTAGTTCAATGGGTGTGAAGACGTTGTTGATTGAGCCCGAGAAAAGTGATTGGGAGCTGCAGAGAATGGTCATAAAAGCCAATAAAGAAGTAAAGGATTGGAGGAAATTGCTGGACACAGTGGTGAGCATATTAGAAACGGAAGCTGTGGTAGCATTAAAGCCGTTCTCAGACAGGCAGGTGGTCCTTGATGTTGGCGATGGACATTGGAGCTTCACAACATTTGAATCTGAAGAGGGCCTGATCCAGGTTCAAAATTGGAATGTGTAACGAGATGGAACACACCTCCGGAAGTTTCCTGCTAAAGCTGGTAGGACTTCCTTTCCATCTCTCAAATGAATTGAACTTGGAAAACATAGTGAGGCTGTTGGGAGGAGTTTTGGAGGAGGTTGATCTTCAAGATTTACATGCTGCAGAGGTTAGGATTGCAGGGATGAAACCAATACTTTTACCCAAATCAGTTGAAGTGTTATCTGATGGCTTCTGGTATTGTGTTTGGCTGATATCAGAAGTGGAAGTGACTCTTTGGGGATGAAGAACCAAGGTTGAAGACGATTCTGACATGGTGGGCTGGTATACACGTGGCACACATTTGATGGTGAGAAGGATTGGTGAATAAAATAAGACCAATTGGGAAACTGGAAAGTTGGTGGAGGAAAACCAAAAGCCAAGTAATCTATTTAATGAAAAAAGTTCAAAAGATTTTGAATTAAAAGGAGAGAAAGAGTCCCGGGTTTCCTTTGCCGATGTGTCTAAGAGAGGGAGTGGCTTGGCTAAAAATAAGTTGTGAACCGTTGCCTTTGAATTGGGAGGCAGAGCGGTTTAGCCTCAGGACTGAAAACCAACCCACGTGATGTCTTAAGTGATCACGTAGATTGGGGAAGAGTTTTGTACCCTTAGACAATAGTCATCGTCTATCTTCTTCTCCAAAGAAGGCTGTTAGGTCTGGTGTTCTGCTGCCTTGATGGGTTGAACATAGTTCAGGGGGCTTGTTGCAATGGGTCTCTTGACTGACTTCAAATTCTGCTAGCACTGTCCAATTAGAGGTGTAAATCGGGCCGTGCCGCCCGCGGCCCGACACGATTTTGAGCCTGCCCAACCCGGCCTGGCACGACGGTTCATGGGTCGTGCCGGGGCACGACACGATTGTATGGGCTTGGGGTTTTAGGTCTATGGGTTAGGCCTACATGACATGGCATTGCGAGGCGTGCCGCCTGTCGCCCGGGGGCTAGCACGACGCAACCCACCCGAAGAAATAGCTGTTGGATGGTTGGAGTCTTGGAGAGACACCCCCCTCCAATGGCTAGTTTCAACTTTTTGAGGGGGGTTTTTATAGAAGTACCCCCCAACAGCTATAAACTATATAGGGGGGTATTTATGTAGTTTTGGCAGGGTATTTAGGTAAAGTGATAAATGACTTTATAATGACCAACATACCCCTCCCAACAACTAAAAAATGTCTAGTTTTTAGGGTATTTTGGGCAATTGAATTATTTTCCATTCCTACAAATAACCCTATTCTCCACACCAATTCAGTAATTCTCTTCTCAATTCTAGTACTCTCTCAGTCTCTCATCTCAATTCTCATACAGTCTCATACTGACATACTGTCATACACTTAGGCAGTTAGGGCACTTAGCAATTTAGCCATTTATGAAGCTTTGAGAGGCTTCAACCGTTGAAATCAAGTTGAGATTTTGAATCGGTAATCCGACCATCCAGGTAAGTGCAATTAAATTAATTTTTATTTTTTTAGAATTAAAAATAATGGCAAACTCCTCCTTTCGAAACCAATTCCCGAACGGTAATTTCACTAGCCTGATTTGGAAAATATTTAAAATAGAGGGGGTTGAGGGGAAGGGAAAAAGAGCCATTTGCCAAAAATGTAGGATTGACAGACTTCTATCAAGGGTCCTTAACCTTCATTCTCCTCATCAACTTCTTTTCCTTGATGAACCTCCTTTTAATCTACCCCTCAAGATCTTTGGTTGTGTTTGTTTTGTTCATGATATGAGTCCTTCCCGACATAAGTTTGATACTAAATCAGTTAAATGTGTTTTCCTTGGTTACTCTCCAGTCAGAAAGGCTATAGATTGTTTGATGGTCTCTCTGGCAAAAGGTATGTCTCTGAGGATGTTACATTTTTGGAGTCCTCTTTTTCCGGTCATCCTGTCCTTCTCTTTAGGGGAGAATGCAAGTGAAGATGGACTCCCTTTTTCCTTCCTGTTCCTACCTTTGTTCCTCTTCCACCCTCTCTTCCCAGTAACAATGGTATTCCTTCCCCTCCTCCTCCTCCTCTTGTGTATCGGCCTCGGTCCTGGCAATAGTTTTTCATCAGGCGTAGTAAGAGGGTGGCTCCTGAAGCAGAATGCCCACTACAATTTGATCTCTCGGACTTAGGTAATCTTGAACCTCTTGACAATCCTATTATTGATTCTGACCTTGATCTTCTTATTGCCATTCTAAAAGGGAAGAGGACATGTAGCAAGTATCCTATTACTAACTATGTGTCTTATGGTGCTCTCTCACCTTCTTATTGTGCCTATATTTCTGCCATCTCTTCTGTTTCCATTCCTCGCAGTGTTACAGAGGCAATGCAGTCCCCTCACTGGAAGGAAGCCATGGACCAAGAAATGGATGCCCTGATAAAGAACCAGACTTGGGAGGTTGTTCCTTGTCCTAAAGATAAGATTCCTGTTGGGTGTAAGTGGGTTTACACTGTTAAGCACAAGACAAATGGTTCAATCGAGAGGTACAAAGCTCGACTTGTAGCCAAAGGATACACTCAAACTTATGGCATTGATTACGTGGAAACCTTTGCTCTAGTTGCTAAAATGAACTTATTCGTGTGATCATGTCTCTTGCTGCCCATTACTCTTGGCCTTTACATCAAATGAATGTAAAGAATGCCTTCCTTAATGGGACTTACAAGAGGAATATGTATATGAACTTACCACCTGGGGTAAGCTTTCATAACAGTGACAGAAAAATCTGTTGCTTGAAGAAGTCCTTGTATGGCTCATGGAGTGTCTAAACTACTCTGATTGAAGACCTTATTGACTGAGATGGGCATCTAAGCAGATGTCCCAATGAGACTATATTGTGACAATCAAACAACCATAAATATTGCCCACAATCCTGTCCAACATGATCGTACAAAGCATATTGAGGTGAATAGAGAAAATATTTCTAGTAGAGAGATTTGCCTTCCA